GAACATTTTACAATGCTTGCCTTTACTAGCGAGATAGCATTTTTGTTTTCAAACTTAAAGTACTAATTATATCCAATGATTTCAAGAGTATGGGAAGTCTGGGCCGGTGTTGGTCAGTGGTTAGAGCTTCGGCCTGTGCACCGAAGTCTCAGGTTCAATTCCTGGTGAAGGGCACACACCTGGGTTGCAGGTTCGATCCCTGGTTCCGGGGCACAGGTGGGAGGCAATCAACCACATGAATGCTTCTCTTTCTCTCTCCCTCCCTCCTTTTCGCTCTCTCTCAAAATCAATGGAAAAAATATCCTCGGTTGAGGATTAACAACAACAAAACAGAGTGTGGGGAAACAGGTACAAACAAATATTGTCGGCTCTATCCTAATGTAAAAAGTGAAAACCCTTTGATAGAGCAATTCCATGTCCCATGAATATACACTCCTTAGGATACTCATTCAGCATTGTTTGTAATAGCCCCCGCCCCCAACACAGCCTTGGTGCCCAGCCCATCCACAGGAAAATAAATTACAGAAAACGTACAAGGGAAACCTACGCAGCCATTAGAGTAAATGAAGAGGTCACAGGGCTGACAAGGAAAAATTTCAAGATGCAGCATTAAGTGGGAAAAAAAAAAAGCAGTTCCCAGAACAATATGCACAGTATGAACCAATTTATGTTCTTTTTAAAAATCTGTCTTTTTATCGAAATACACACTGTTAAGGATGGTTTCTATGAGTGTAGGATTGGGGTGTAAGGGTGAAGGAGAACATCCATAGTTTTTATATATTTCTGCTTTTTATTTAAAATAAAAAGAATGCAGTCACATGTTCAGACATTATTTGGTCATTTGGGATAAAACCAAAGAGAAAGAAAAATTTCTTACTCAAGAATCTTGGAAAAACAAAGCAAGAATCTTTGAGGTTCAAAGCTGTTATCACAAAATAAGACCTAGATTTCTGAAGGTAACCAGGAGGATGAGGACAAGCATCCGTTCAGTCCTGGTAGAAGCGTTCAGCCAAGGAGAACATGTGTCTTGATCATCACGGATCTCTCCAGATTACTAAATTCTACTCCGTTGACACACTGCTATCTGACAGTATATAAATCCGTGCCAGCATTTCTCTAAAGGTCAACGACAGAAAGAGTTCTGTACTGCTTGCTTGTTCAGCCCCCTGAGCACAGGCCTCTCTGGCTCTGGGTGAAAGCATTCTCCGTCATACTCTGATCACAAGAGTCCAAAGAAGCAGAATGTTCACCCCCTCCCCACCGTATCCATTACTACCATATTTTATTTTTTGTGGGGGAGGAAGTGTGCATAACCAAAAAACCAAGTTAACATTAGGGATTTTGTTTTAAAAATCCACAATTATAGCATTTGGTCTGAGGTCCCCCCCCAAATGAATGGAAACATATGACGTTTACACAACTCTAGAGGTTATTCAATTTCAAAAACCCACCGGCAAGCAAAGATCCCTTTGAACTCTGTTCTCTATTTGTGAAGAATGGTTCTGACCCCAAGAAAGAGCCATGGGTTTTCCAACCAAACTCACTGTGGGACCTGGGATAAGGGATAAGGACCTGACCTGTCAAATGAGGGATTCCGTACCTATAATGAGAACAATAACATCTGGTACTTGTGCTCCCGCCCTGACCCCCCCCCCCCCCCCCCCCGCCGCCCAGCATGTGGTCAGAGCTCAGTAAATATTCATTATTTTCTTCCTGCAATTCTAAGAGATTTTCAGTCTCAGGGTCAGGAACATGGGGATTTCAGATGAATACTGAGATTACCAGAATATCCAATGAAACGCAGCCAATTTTTCTTAAATATGATAGTGAAGATTTTAGTGTGTGTCCCTTTCCCTTATGCCTGCCACCTAAGCGCTCTAGTTTTTACCAAATTTTGATCTTAAATTATCTTCAGAAAATTAGAGCTGTAATCCACTGATTCCAGAATTTATATTATCATTTGAAACTTGAGCATTACATATCTATTGACCAGTTTCTACAAATCTCCAGGTAAGATTTCACATTTTCAGACTATGAGTTACCTGAAATATACATTTAAGAAAATGCTCCGTAACAGTTTTCCTTTTGGGGTGAATGTTACCTGGAACTCCTCCTGTCCTTTTGCTTTTCTCTGGGCTGCCCACAGTGTTGAGGACAACAGCCAGCTGCATCTGTCCTCTGAGCTCACACAGCTCAGAGAGAAACAATTCAGAGTCCCGGAGTGTTTAGGTTCTCACCCATCCCTGCCACTAATCGGGTCCCAGGTCCCCACTGTGAAAGGGCAGCCTTGGACCAAATATTGTCAAGGCTCTTCCAAGCTCTCAAGTTCTATGATCAATGGTCAGACAATGAACAACAAACCCACCAAACAACCATGCAAATTCTATTTCCTGTGGCCACATTCTCAGAGCCAAGAGTCACCTTTTTTGGAGTGCGGGAAGACTCAAATTGTCCAAGGAAACTGCCCCCAAAAAGCAAGCATCTGTAAGAAGTAGTATTTTAGCCACTATCTAAACATGACCTAAGAACAAAATATAAATAGGGTTTAAAACTTCAATATGTATACTCAGCATATGGACTTCCTTTTCCCAAGAATGGAAGATATTTCTGCATAATTATAAAATGTAATCATTTTTTCCTCCTAATGTTATACTAACAAAACCGTAAAAGTATATATTTGTAAAATGTAAAAATGCTTAAATAGCATAATTAGCTGAATTTAGATTTTTTTCTTTTATTGAAAACATGCATTTTGTTAGAATTTCTAGCCCAAACACTATATTTGAAGGTAAAAGAAAAGCGAGTTGATATGAGTGAACTTCTTGGCACTGTAGTTTTAGTTTGACATTTAGGTGTCACTCTCAAATAAATAGAATGTCATGCAGTATTTGAATTTCTTTCATTCTAGGGAGCCAAGTGGACAACTCCCATGTAATACTGATTCAAAATAGGACCTACTGAGATGTTAACTCCACTTACTGTGGTGATCATTTCAAAATATATACAAATATCAAATCATTATGTTGTACACCTGAGACAAATATAATGTTATAGGTCATTTATACCTCAATAATCAAAACAAAAGCCAACACTTATTCTTGTAAAATCCCAGGTAGTTTGGGAAAGGGTGGACTTTCTACTGCTGAGCTCCTAGGCCAGAGTGAAAGATGGAATTGAAACAGAGGATGGACCTGGGATCTGCTTACTGAAGTCACTTGCCCAGCACTTCATAGCCTTGAAGTCTCTAGCTTCTCGGCTGCCCCTACACTCAAACATGTAGACCATTTTTAAACTGCAGGTCTTCACCTATTTCCCCATGGGGAATAGGGAAAGGATGGACAAGATTACTGAACTCTGGTCTGAGTGGGTGATCTCTACTTCCACACTGTGCCACTGAGACTGTCAAGCAGAACCCTCTGCACCCAGCCCCCTTTCCTCCTTAATGAGCAGTGCTTAAGGTAAAGGCCTTCAACAATAGAAGTCAAATAGCCCATCCCGGAGGCTCTCCATCAAAATTTGCACTTCAGAGAGGCTTCCTGGGGACAGACACAATTCACCTTTCTCTTCTAGAAGCCAGCAGTAATTTAGGAACAGCAAGATAACACGTGAAAATGCTGGCCAAAAATCAGGAATAGTTTGCAAGACGTAGACTTTTGGGCTACCAAATGGAAAGACTGTCCTCCAATCTTCTCACTCTTTTAGATGCTACCAGGGAAATTTGTTTAAAGGCCCTGCCAAATAATAGTTTTGGTTAAGTTCCTGAGAGAGTAGGTGTTACTTCAACCCAATAGAAAAACAAAGGACTAGGACTACAGCTTGCAAAATAAAAGGATATTAAAAGATCAAATTCAACACTTGCTTCTTTCAATACTTCAATAATCTGACCCGTAGACACCTTAGGTAAGAACAACATAGCAGCCCTGGCCAGTTGGGCTCAGCGGTTAGAGCGTCCGCCCACGGACCAGAGAGTTCCGGGTTCGGTTCGGCTATGGGCATGTACCTTGGTTGCAGTATGTCCCCCACCCTGGCTGGGGTCGTGTGGGTGGCAACCAATGCATGTCTCTCTCACATTGATGTTTCTCTCTCCCTTTCTTCCTCTCTCTCTCCTGCTCTATCTAAAGATAAATGTAAAAATAAAGAAAAAATAAAAATAAATAAAATTCCTCTACTTTAAAAAAAAAAAGAACAACATAGCAATTAGACTATAAAATTACTGAGTTAATGCGGGTACTGGATTCCGAGATGAAGAACTAAGAGGTGCAAACCATTATGGTAAAAAACCACTATGGAAATACCATGTCTTCCCCCTAGTTTTATCCACTCCTTGAGGAGCCCTTGTTTGTTCTTTTTTAAAAAAATATTTTTATTGATATTTTTAAAGAGATGGGGGGGGTCTTTTTGTTGTTCCACCCATTTATGCCTTCATTGGTTGATTCTTGTGAATGCCCTGACCAGGGACCCAAACGCAGCCTTGGCATATTGGGACAACGCTCTACTCAACTGAGCTGCTGGTACTTTTTGAATGCTATGCTAGGTCGATAAAGAGAGCGTCGCTGACAATAGTTCGTTAACTTCTGAAACCAAATCTACCTTAAGTCTATGTAGGTGGAGACAATTTCATCAGTCCAAGCCAGAAGCCACGGCTGAAGTCCTCCTCCAGTTGGCGCGATTACAGGGAAAGCCAAGAACTCCGTTAAAGAACACACATGCCCAAGAACTGGAGGTACGGACACGGGCTGTGTGAAGCTTGGGTAACTCCCTAAGAAGTTGGGAACTGGGTGTTGGCACTCGGGGAACATGGAAGAAACAGTAAAGTTGGGGCGCTGGCGGAGTGTCGCCCGCACACTTTTATCTTTTATTGGCGGAACCACTCAGACTTTTCTTTATGGCGTCACCGGGTACCTGCCTGTAGAAAGGCCCCCTCTCCGTGACGTCACGCCCCACTGACCAATGAAAGGCCTCAGTCTGTGGGCCCCGAGGAGGGTTGTGGGCCCTTTTTTGTGAATGAAGCTCCACGGAACAGCCCTCCTGGGGTCCCGGGCGGCGCGGGCCGCTGTACTCCGGCGCCTCCGCAGCAGCGTCCGCGGTGGGCGCGCGTGGTTCCCCGAGGCAGCCCCGACCGCCCGCCGCAGCACAGTCGCCTCCGCCGCGCCAGCGGGCTGCGGGCACCTGGGGGCCGGCTGGGGGGCGCGGGCAGCGGCAGGAGGCGCTGTAGCCAGGGCTGCGGCGCGGGTCCCGCGGCGGCCGCAGGAGGGAGCGGGGCAGGCGCGGTGGGCCCGGCCCCTCCTCCGCCTTCTGCGCGGCCGCCTCCCGCCAGGCTCCGCCGGCGCCCGTCGTCCCCGCAGCGCCTCTCCGCGCCCGCCGCCCGGAGCGCCCGCGCGCGTGGCTGGCGGGGGCCTCGGTGGGCGAACGGGCGCGCGGGGCCATGGTCGTGGCCCCCTGACGGGCCGCGGCCGCCTCCATGAAGCGGAAGAGCGAGCGGCGGCCGAGCTGGGCCGCCGCGCCCCCCAGCTCGCGGCGCAGCCCGTCGCTGGGAGTGAAGAAGAGCCGCAACTCCACGTCGCAGGAACTGCATCGCCTGGACCAACCGGACGACCTGTACCTGGACATCACCGGTGAGCCGGCGGACGAACGCGTGGCGAGGCACCCGGGACACGCGGCCCCTGCGCGGGGGTCCCACCCCCACCCCCTCCCCCCGGCAGTGGAGGCGTCTCCATCCCCCCACCCCCAGGCAGTCAAGGTACCTCCACCCCCACCCCCATAAAAGCCCCAGCCCGCCACACCCCCTTCAGGAGCCTGGCGCCCGGGGAGCGCCCCCCTACTCCTAGTTGCCATCTGCGTTTGTGGCGAGCTGTAACTTTATCCCTTTGGCCACCTCCTGCCCCAGCAAGGTGGGCCGAGGGTCACCTTCCTAAATGGCTCGCGTTAGCTTGGTGCCTCGGGCTTTTTCTAAGTTCAGGTTGATACCACTTCCTGGGGTTGCCTGCCAGGTTGGCCCTCCCAGGAGCCTGAACCTCAGAGTCACCCCAGAGGATTCCCCGAGCGCGCGGAACGTGCCCGCACCGGAGCAGTTTGTGGCGTTTGCCAAACCTCCGCTGCCGGGTAGGAAATGGAGTCCCGCCTGGGGCGGCGTGCCCTGGCCGGGCGCGACAGCCATCTCCCCGCCCCGGTCCTCTGTGCACCGCCCTCTCCCCAGCGCGCGCACGCGGTCATTCCCCTCCCGGGCTTTAAGAAACAACATGTCACGTGGATGGCATTTGAACCCCGTCAGCATGCTCAATGCCCAGAGTTGTCACTTTTGAGAAATTACAGCCAGACACAGCAGGTAGAAAAGCAGCCCGTTGATAGCTGTTTTATTATTCGTGCTCCTTGTACAGTTCTCGAAAGCTAATAAATCGAATTTGGCAGCTGTTGAGTTTGCCAGGATTGACACTGAAGCTTGTGAAGGCTTCAGTCGTGATAATGTATGTGGAAACGCTTTGTAAACAGCACAGCCGTCCACAGTTTTGAGGGAATTTGCAGTCTGTTTAATGTGGTGCGTGATTTGTAAACCTTGGCATGCCTGGGGTTTTTATAAACTTAACCACCCTTGGCCATTGATGTACCAGGTGAGCTTGGAGTGGTCAGAACATTAATTTCGTAACCGTTCAAACACAGAAATGTAGAAATTATTTTCTAGGTTGATGGACAGTTGGAAACTAAGGTCCATTTTTTTTTTTAAGCCAGAAGGTTTCTCAGCATTGGTGGGTGGCCCTTGGGAACAGAGGAATAAGGAGGAAGTGGTTACCTTGAGTCCCTGTCGCTGCTGTCACCTGCCTGGTCCATGGTAGTGCTAGCGCTGTAGGCGAAGCTAGCTAGCTGAGGATGAGACCAGGTCCCACCACGATATGCACTCTGTAGAGATGGCCCCCCCAGGAGGGCTGGAGGTGGAGGACCCACACATTCCTCATGCCTCTGTTATTTATACCTCTTCAAAGTAACTTTGTTTAATAACATTTAATTTTAGGGCAAGTAATGCATTTACATGGTACTGAACTCTAATTCTAAAGGTGCACAGGAGTATGTAGTAAAAAGTTGGTCTCAGCCACTGGGTATTCTTCCCCAGAGGCAATGTATGTTCCTAGTTTCTTGTGACTCCTTCCAGAAATAGACTGTTGTAGACACATAGATATTCTCCACCATTCCCAGGCATGTGGCATACAACATCTTGTTTTGCATGTTTTTTCTTCACACTGTTTCTTAGCAGACAGATTGTTTTCCATTAGTGCAGGCAAAACTGCCTCATTTACTTTTCATTACTGCTTAGGCCAAAGTAGAAATGGTGTTAAAATCTAAAACCATGAAAAAGTATATGTGGATTTAAGTGTACATATGTTTTAGAGCTTGTTTAGACAGCTCCCTGTTGATGAACATTTAGATTGGCTCCAATCAAAAAGGAAGTTTTTGACAACAAAGTCATTAGAATAAATACTCCTCCTCCTTCATTGAGAAAAAAATGGAATGTGGTTGGCTTTCCTAAGAGAGTGACCAATGAATTAACTCCAGAAAATACCACAAGCAGAATATTGAGGAAGGAGTTGGCACAGTATATAAAAGAAATACGCAGTTATTTGTTATTTGGCTTAGGAGCCCAGATGAACGGAAGGCTCCAGTCTCAGTGTGAGATCACCTCAGGGAAGAAAGGAAGTCAACTTTCCCTGGGATTTCACCAGGTGTCCCTTAGTGACAGTCTTGGCTTCCTGGGAAAAAAAAAAAAAAAAAAATGCCACTAAACCAGTCTGTTTTGGTGTGATATACAAGACAAAAATAAAGTGACTTTGGGTGCTGTGTGTGGATTACTTTTTATTGGGCTTGTAGGGAAGACTTGAGGCCTCATCCTCAGCAAATGGCAACCTGGTCCCTTTCTTGCCAACTTGTTTTCCCCTGATTGCCTTATTAACTTGAAAAGCAATGCATGCACGTTTTTTAGAGTCGAACGTTACCAAAGGAGATAGATAGGTACAGTTCATTTCCTTCCCTGGTAGCATCTTCTTTCGCTTCAGATTTCTGTGCATATCTGAGTTTTTACAAATTGTGCCATACCAGCAGGAGCAGTCTTCTTTTTAATGCCAGCATGGTATTGCATTGTGCGGCTGAAGTGTGATTTATTTAATGGTGATAAATAAATGGTTACTTGGGGATTTTCCAGTCCCTACTTACAAATGGCTATGGTAGCATCAGTGTATATATCTACCTATATGTTTAACTGTATCTGCAGAGTAAAATAGAGTGAAGAGGCTGGCCAGAGTATGTATAGGTTTATTTATTCATCAGTGGACATTTTTGGTAATTATGAATAATGCTGCTATGAACATTCATGTACATGTTTTTGCATGGACTACATTCTCAGTTCCTTTGGATATATACCTAGGAGGGGAAATGCTGGGTTGCATGGTAACTCTATGTTTAATCTTTTGAGCAACTGCCAGACTTTTTTTCCAAAGTAGCTGTACCACCAATATTCCCACCAGCAGTATACCAATTATTCCACATCCTTACCAACACTTACAAAATTGTGACAATTTTTTCCCCCATTTGGGTTGGTTTATAAAAATTAATGCACATATCACTTAAATACATTAAAATTTTTTTTAACTTTAGTCCCTTGACATTTTTATGTTGCCTATTTTATCAGTAAATTGAATTCCCATTGATTCCAGGATATTTCATGTGTGTACATTTACTATAGAATGCCAATTTCATGTCTGTAGTCCTTTGTTATGTGTTCACTATTGTTTAGTGTCCAGTCAGCCACCTGGCTGCACTGGGCACTTTTACTCGGAGCAGACTCTTGGGGCTTTTATTCCTACCCCATCCCATCAGGGCTGTTATTGACCATTCACTGAGTTCTTGCCATGTGCAATGACATGGATTTTTACCTGAGCTGTGTTCCTGGTGCAGTTTCAGTCATAAATACAGTATAAACTGTATCCATTAATGCTAAACAGATGCCCATTAGAGATATCATCAGAATTAGTTGTTACTAGTCAAGGAAGCTGGGGGAAGAAGGGAGGTGAGGAAGGTTTTCAGTTGAATTTGGAACTAGATAACTCTCAAGATGGGAGAAAGACTGAAGGAAAAAATGTTGGGCACAGCCAGGTTTTTGCTTTTCTTATGGACCTTCTTGTGGCCAGAAGTCGGAATCTTTTCAATCTCTGTGTTCTTATCCCTTTAAATAGGGCTTTCCATAAACGTGCTCATTCTCCTTTCCCTTTATTAATACAGGAAAAAAAAATTTTAAAGACTATAACACTGCAGAATGTGTTTGATAATTTATAGGATTGATTATTGGTACAGAACTTCAATTTATTTTTATTTTCTTGTTTTTTAAATTCCTGACTCGTGAAGAAAATTGATAACTGCTGGCTAAAAAAGATTCTTGGTAGTTTGTCTTAAATTTATTATTATTATTATTATTATTTTAGAGAGAGAGAAAGGGAGAGGGAGAAAGAGAAATATCGAAGAGAGAGGACATTGACTGGCCGCCTCCTGTATGCCTCCCACTGGGGATTTGGCCCACAACCCGGGCATGTGCCCTGACTGGGAATCAAACCGGTGACCTCTTGGTGCATGGGTCGATGCTCAACCACTGAGCTACACCAGCCACACTGTTTTAAAATTTTTTTTAAGTTTTCCTTTTTTGGTGTCTGCCATGATATTTGTACCTTTTAAAGAGTGTCTATTTGTAACAGTAAATCATTTTATTGGAGACACTGTAGTTGAGGTCAGCATTGTCATCTGAAAGCACTAATTAATGGTCTTGGATACTCATCAAATAAAATTAAATAATACAACACTACCTCCTCCCTCCCTTTTTTAGGATTTAAAAAAAAATCACGATATCATTAAACAGGACAAATGTATTCATTAATTTAAGAAGTATTTATTGCATGCTTACTATGTAAAACAGTTATGTTTGTTCATTGTTTGCAGTGATAGAAGTATATTTTCTTGATAGAAAAGGAATACTATTATCTGGGGCACGGGTTCAAGGAGGAAATACATTCATTTTTCTTCATGAGTGTCATGTAGTAGATTATTGAGTTTCAATAACTGAAGCTCATCAAAGTATGTATTATTCATTTTTCTTGCTTATGACTTCTATACTTACTTTAAAATTTGTGCTTAATGTGAACTAATTTTCTTGATTTATGTGCTTACTTAATTCTTCAAAATCTTTACTTTGGATAGTGTCCTGTTACCTGCTTTAAGTATAAAAACCTTAGGCATTCCACCACCACTCACAGACAAAAACCTAACACAGTTTTTGTAGACATGAAGAGTGGTTGGACATGTAGATGAGGAAGGGAAAGTGGACTGACTGGCTTGCAGAGATAACACTAATGCCAGCAGTTGCCAGTCAGTGCAAACTCTAACTTCTCTGTGCCTTGGCATGGAAATGCATTTCCCCAGTTCCTACTGGGATCGGGGAGGGTTGGAATGAAACCACATTGTGGATTTTTAGGATGGAATGACATTTCTTGCAAGTTTGTGAGAGTCTCTAGGGATCTCTGAATTGATGGAACAGATGTTTTGTTGTTGAAAGAATTTCAGGCAATGATCTAGAAATATCACA